TGTATAACCACATATGGATGTATAACCACATATGGATGTATAACCACATATAGATGTATAACCACATATAGATGTATAACAACCTATGGATGTACAGTGGGGGGAATAAGTATTTGACCCCTTGCTGATTTTGTACATTCTAACAGTGAAAGACAGAATCCCAAAGAAAATTCCAGAAAATCACATCATATGAATTTATAAAAATTGATAACCATCTCATGAGGAAAAATAAGCATTCTTTGTAAGTGGGCAAACCTGCAAAATCAGCAAGGGGCTAAATACATATTTATGCTGAAACAGTGTTCTAACGCCTGTTCTAAGGAAACGGCAGGAGGCCTTACAGTTGGAGGACTGGTTCCAGTGTGTTTGTTTGATGGCTTCCTCGCTGACATCTGTCCAGAAGATCAGGCCCTCGGAGAACAGGAAGTCCACCGCCGCCGCGTCCTCCAGCTCGCTGACAACAATGGCCGACTCGCCGCGCACGCCCTCCGCGTCCACCAGCCGCACGTCGCGCCGGTTAGCGAACAGGAGGAGGGGCGAGCCTGGAAACAGAAGAAAACCTGGTTAGGAGTTTAAAAAACAAGATGCTAGAACGTTTCCCGTAGCCATACACAGGATACACAACAATAGGTTTTGACTTGGAGTGATTCTGAGATGTTTACGGCCTTCCATCAGGGTTCCAAAAGAGGAAAAACTGCTAAAATAACCTGGCAAACGAGTAATAAAATCAGACAAATTTCAACTCGATACCGATACTCAGGAAAATACTCGATACCATTTTCGATACCACAAGGATTTTTAAAAAGACCCCAAAATGTAACTGAATTTCGACAGGTTAGTGTCGTTGGTTACAAACTGACCTGTTACTGATGTTATGGTGGCACACATTAATGATCCTAACCCTAACCCTAACCCTAAACCTAACCCTAACCCTGACCGTAACCCTGACCCTAAACAGGAGGAGGGGCGAGCCTGGAAACAGAAGAAAACCTGGTTAGAAGTTTCAAAAACATGATGCTTAAACGTTTCCCTTAACCATAAGTGCGTAGGGAACAAAGTGTTTACAGGATACACAACAATAGGTTGTGATTCGGTGTCTTTGGTTTCAAACAGACCTGTTACTGATGTTATGGTGGCCCACATTAATGACCCTAAACCTAACCTTAACCCTGACCCTAACCATAACCCTAACCCTAAACAGGAGGAGGGGCGAGCCTGGAAACAGAAGAAAACCTGGTTAGGAGTTTAAAAAACAAGATGCTCAAATGTTTCCCCTAGCCCCAGATGCGTAGGTAAAAAAGTATTTACAGGATACACAACAGAAACTCACAACAATAGGTTGTGATTCTCGAAAAGAGGAAAAACTGCTCAAATAACCTGTCAAAAGAGTATTAAAATCAGAAAAATGTGTCCTCAATAGGGCTGTCACGATACTAAAATGTTCGATACTCGATACCGTTTTCGATACCACAAGGATTTAAAATAAAGAACCCAAAATTTAACTGAATTTTGACAGGTTAGTGTCTTTGGTTTCAGACTGACCTATTACTTATGTTATGGTGGCCCACATTAATGATCCTGACCCTAACCCTAACCCTAAACCTAACCCTAACCCTAACCCTGACCCTAACCCTGACCCTAACCATAACCATAACCCTAACCCTAAACAGGAGGAGGGGCGAGCCTGGAAAAAGAAGAAAACCTGGTTAGAAGTTTAAAAAACATGATGCTTAAACGTTTCCCCTTAGCCATAAGTGCGTAGGAAAGAAAGTCTTTACAGGATACACAACAGAATCTGACAAAAATAGGTTGTGATTCTCGAAAAGAGGAAAAACTGCTCAAATAACCTGGCAAACGAGTAATAAATCAGACAAATGTGTCTTCAATAGGGTTTTCAGGATACTAAAATGTATCAACTCGATACCGATACTCAGGAAAACGTATGATACTCTATACCGTTTTCGATACCACAAGGATAAAAACAAAGACCCCAAAATTTAACTGAATTTTGACAGGTTAGTGTCTTTGGTTTCAAACTGACCTGTTACTGATGTTATGGTGGCCCACATTAATGATCCTAACCCTAAACCTAACCCTAACCCTAACCCTAACCCTAACCATAACCCTAACCCTAAACAGGAGGAGGGGCGAGCCTGGAAACAGAAGAAAACCTGGTTAGAAGTTTAAAAAACAAGATGCTAGAATGTTTCCCCTTACCATAAGTGCGTAGGAGAGAAAGTATTTACAGGATACACAACAGAATCTTAACTGAGTTTTGACAGGTTAGTGTCTTTGGTTTCAAACTGACCTGTTACTGATGTTATGGTGGCCCACATTAATGACCCTAACCCTAACCCTAACCCTAACCCTAACCCTTCACCCTTCATAATTTTGAAATTGTTTTATACAAAGAAATGTTGTTTTTTTCTACACAATATCATATAGATGTTTGAAATTGTGAAATAAATTTGTTTTTATGGAGCCTGCCACTCATTAAGCCCCTTGAGGGTTTTTCGACAGTTGTCCATCACATTTTCTTTTTTAGTGAAACATTATTCTGTTTTTATGTTTTTGTTGTGAAAATAAAATAAATAAATGTTAAAAAATTAAAAAAAATAATTGTGAGAAATAATTTTTTTTTTTTGTTAAACTTGTTTGGACTTATTGTACAAACCTATTTAACATCCACTATTTTAACATAATATTATGTATAGAGTTTAATTCAGTGTTTGCAAGATTCATTTCACTAATTGTAAATAAATGTCTATATTGCCATGAAGCAATTAGGATTTTCTTGCCTGGGATCTTCCTATTGGTGACCTAATCAAAATGGCCGACTTGGATGTGGGGAGTTGGATATCCATCCTTGGCTTCCTGCAGTCTGCAGCCAGACGGACTTGATTAATGTTGGCGTGTTATTATTAGCCATTAGCCGCAGCTAGCAATCCAAGGCTAACGTCACGTTAATGATCATAAACAACTTAACCCTGTAATGCCAAATGTATCATATTTGATTCATACGGTTTCTGAAATGTTTTGCGTCTGACACCTTTTGCATAATTTAATGGTAAAAACTTTGCTCAAAATCCTATTGTACACAATCAGATACACCTGATAACAGGGGGCAGAAGACACACAAAAAATAATCTTGACTTATCCCATAGTAATAAATTATTAATATTAAAAATGTATTTTTGTTTTTACATATTTTGTTAAAAGGCCAAATATAGACTTAAAACCAAAAAAAAGTACGTTTCTGTTTTGTTTTGTTCTTGGATCGGGCTTTAAAGGGTTAAAGAATAAATAGAATAGCCGGCTTTTTTCCTTGTTGTTTAAAGCCTACCGATCTTCTCTTTTTCACCTGGACACTGGAAAACTCACATCAAGGCACCAAAATACCCAAAAAAGTCCTATCTAGTAAAACTAATCAGGCACCAGGACAGAAACCCCGTGGTGGAAACACAGTTCCAGCCTGGTTGGAGCCGGTTAGAATCAGAATCAGAATCAGAAATACTTTAATAATCCCGTTAGGGCCCAGGTTTAACTCCTCTGCCCGGGTTTAGCTGCCTTCCCCCTATCGGAGCTTCTCTTTGAAGGCCTGTGGCTTTGGATGGGGGGGGGGGCATAGTTACACTACGGTGGAGAAAAGGGCGGGATCCAAATGTGTCGGAGAAAAAGAGAAAAAGAGAGAAAGGGAGAGGACTGTCCCTGAGTAAGACCAATACTAGAGTTTAAGCCCGATCCGATATCTGGATTTGCAAAAAAATGTGTATCGGCTGGCACGAGAAAATGCAGATCCAGACTCCAGATCCATTTTTTTATTTAAAGTCAGATCCCACACGAGCATTAGCATTAGCATTAGCATCTCTAACCCACAGGTCTGTGTCCTAACCATTAAGTTGTTATCAGAGTAAATCCCTGTTCAACATGAGTCTGACAACTAAGTAAGTAGATAAATAACTTTAAACTTTAGTACATGCTCTGATTGGCCGGGATCGGGATCGGATCGGAAGTGAAAAAAGCTGGAACGGGCCAATAAAAACCCTTTTATTGATTACTTTTTTCTAATTTATTTCTTTTTCGATCTCTCTTCTATAAGTCGTTTGTTTTATTGCTATGTGTAATTATCTGCCGTATTTATTAAGGAGTTATCGTAGGTTTTTGGAACAAATTATAGGAATTCCAGTGTATTCTGATGGGAATATTTAAACCAACATACCTTTATTTTAACATCCAGATCGGGATCGGATTGGAAGTGAAAAAAGCTGGATCGGGACATCCCTACTAGAGTTAAAATATCGTCCTGCTACAGATTTAATCATCCATCCAAACTTCTTGACCAGCTTCTTCCAGCTGGTACAAACAAACTCAAGAAACCAAACAAACATCTCGTGCTTTTGGACGCGGGAAGGAAGCCGGAGAACGGTCCCAACTTTGGACTCAAACCAAGACCCTTCAGGTATGAGACAAAGGAGCCTAGCATCATGCTAACGGGAAGTTTTCTCTGAGTAGGAAAAGGATTCTGACACTGACCAGGACAAAGGGAGATGGAGTCTCAGATAAATGTGCACCTGAACTCCGACTTCTGCTGGAACCAACACAAATACACAGGATGAAGACCGGAAAAAGATGACAATCACACAGGAAGAAAACTGCGGTTCCCACAGGAAACCCGTCCGAATTTTTGTCCAGCATTCAAACTCAAATTGGCTTGAAATGGAATGTATCGTTGAAGTGCCAAAATATGATTTATAAATGACTTCTACACTTCTCTGATGATTCTGGGTGGACATGGACCCTCTTAGCCATGTACTGTGAGCAAATCAGGGCTCAAACAGTCCCAAACGACTCATCTTTAGCTTGAACTTAGCTTTAACAAAGTAGCCTGATCTCAGATAAACTAGAGCTGGAATAAACTGGCCAGCTGATGTCCACTGGATCTCCTGTTTCCTCAGAAATGTTAGAGATTTGGGAGCCTTTACTGACTTATTTTGACAGACTTGCAACTCTCCCCTCTCATCAGTAAAACTTCAACGTAAGTACTTTCATCTTTGAATTTTTTTATTTTTATTTATCATTATATTTATTATTATTTTATCTTTTTTATATAATTCTATCTTTTTTTTAATTATTTTAATTATTTTCATTATTTTCATTATTTATTTATTTATTTATTTATCTATTTTATTTTATTTTAACAACATTTCAATAATTTACATTTTTTAAATTTTATTTTATTTTATTTTTGCCGGGACAGGGATTGTCGGAGTTGGATGGGGTTTATAAAAAATTTAAAAAATGTAAATTATTGAAATGTTGTGTAATTTTTGTTTTTATTGTACACTTTCACCAAAGGAATTGAAACAACCGTAAAACATTACAACCTGTATGACATTTTACATCTGTTTTAACAACAATAAAAAATATGTGGGGAATAAAAAAAAAGAAATATTAGAGATAAAGCCCTCTGATCCCCCGGACTCAGCCTGTTATTCCTGGACCCCGCAAAGCCGTTCCCAATGTACTAAAAAGTTCCTAATCTACTAAAAATGTCAAACTGTCCTAAAAAGTTCCTAGTCTACTAAAAAATTCCCAATCTAACAAAAAGTTACTAATGTACAAAAAAATTCCAAATGACCTAAAAAGTTCCCAATGTACTAAAAAGTATCCAAACTACTAAAAAGTTCCAAATGACCTAAAAAGTTCCAAATGACCTAAAAAGTTCATAATGTACTAAAAAGTATCCAAACTGCTAAAAAGTTCCAAATGACATAAAAAGTTCCCGATGTACTAAAAAGTTCCAAATCTACTAAAAAGTTCCAAATGACCTAAAAATTTCCCAATGTACTAAAAAGTTCCCAATGACCCAAAAAGTTCCCAATCTACTAAAAAGTTCCCAATGTACTAAAAAGTATCCAAATCTACTAAAAAGTTCCAAACGACCTAAAAAGTTCTCAATGTACTAAAAAGTTCCCAATGGACTCAAA